GCTTTTGAGACAGGGTTTCTCTGTGTAGTCTTAGCTGTCCTGGAACTTGCTCTGTAGACCAGGCTGGCCTTGAACTCAGAGACCACCTGCTCTGCCTCCTCAGTGCTGGGATTAAAGGTGTGCCCCCCACCACCACCCAGCTCTCATTTTAATTAAGTGTCCGTGCATGAGAGCAGGTGCCTGGAGAGAGGCAGCACATCTTACTGCACCTGTCGTGCTGATGTGGGTGCTGGGAACTGAACCCAGGCCCTCTACAAGAGCAGTCCACCCTCCTAACCAATGAGCCATTTAGATCTCCATGTCCAGTCTTTTCCCGAGACAGGGTCACTCTGACTCTACAGCTCACCATTCGGCTGGCCAGCAACTCCTAGGGTGGTTGTTGTCTCTACCTCAATGCTGGGATTACACTGTTTGTATTCTGCACCCAGTTTTCACATGGGTGCTACTTAGTTTATGTGGGTCCTTTCACGGCAAGCACTTTACCCACAGAGCTATCTTTCCAACCGATGCTGACAGTTTAATTCATTTCTCATCACCTGACATGTTGTACGTTCCATATTTATGTCCACACCACTGTTATCCTAGTGAATTCCAAGCAGACAAGGACTTTGTGTGTTTGTCCAATGCTGACACCACAGGGCCCACAGCAGTAGTTTGGTACACAGTAGACAATATTCATTACACGAAAGACCCAACAACTAACCAACTAATTATAAGTCTAAAAAGAGCTTTGAAGAACAATGTGCTAAGGAAGCGTCTAGAATTGAGAACCAGAAGTGGGGAATAAGGTTTTTGAAAGAAGCTGATCTTCAAAGGGTAAGTGGATGTTGGCTTGGCCAACAGCCCTAATAAAGGGTTAGCCAGGTTAGCCTAGGGAGTTCTCCCCAGATATTGACACTCAAGCAAAGTTGGATCCTTAGCTTTGTCATAGAAAAGAATATCAGGACAAGCCCATGAGAGAAAAGTTATATTTCTTTTTTTTTTTTTCAAAACAGGCTTCCTCTGTCAAATGGTCCTGGCATTCACTGTGTAGACTAGGGAACTGAGATCTGCCTGCCTCTGCCTCCCAAGTGCTGGGATTAAAAGTGTGCATCACCACCACCCAGCTTGCAAAAATAATACAATCTTAACAGATTTAAGAACAGGAGTTAAAGGCATCCCAAGAAAGAATGAGACAAACTCAAGTAAGGGTGTGGGCTTCCAAAGAAGACTTGAATTTGTAGATTTTTTTTCTTAGACAGGTTCTTACTACATAGCCCTGGCTGTCTATGCAGACCAGGCTGGTTTCCAACTGCACTGAAATTCACCTGCCCCAGCCTCCCAATACCAGTACCTGGTATTAAATGCACAAGCGCCACCACTCCTAGCCACATTTCATTGTCTAGGCAACACAGGTGACTTTTGAACTTATTCCAAGGTTACCTAAGGCATTTTTGGTGATGACATGGTCCCACGGTTCCTGAAACCTGCCTGACAGGTTTACAGTGGATCATTAGACTCTTAGATCACAAGGGTGCAGAAAATTAGGATAGCATCATCTGTAAACACTGTCTCCTGAGACTCCTGGAAAACTTCCGGGTAAAGAGAGATGCCCTATCCAAGGCCCGGCCTTCAGTCTGGCTTACTGACATCTTACCACCCCTATTCAGAAATTTTTCTCCCTAAAAGAATTATCAGGGCCAGTGAAATGGTTTAGCTGGTAAAAGTACTTGGTGACAAGTTCGAAGACCTGAGTTGGTTCCCTGGTGGACAGTGTGGAACGGAAGAATCAACCCTCAAAAGTTAAAAGTTGTTCTTTGACCTCCACATGTACTCTGTGGCATTCAAGAGCCACCACAAACCTAAACTCATTTTTGGGCACTTCTTTTTTTTTTTTTTTTGGAGACAGGATTTCTCTGTAGCTTTGGAGACTGTCCTGGAACTAGCTCTTGTAGAGGCTGGCCTTGAATTCGGAAGGAGGCAGAGGCAGGGATTAAAGGCATGTACCACCACCACCTGACCTAAACTCATTTTTAAATGCAATTTTAAATTATTAAAAAAAAAAAAGCCAGGCGTGGTGGTTGTGGCATAAGCCTTTAATTTTGGTACCGGGAGGCTGAGGCAGGTAGCTATCTGTGAGTTCAAGCCCAGCCTGGTCTGCAGTCAGGGGTACATAAAAACACTGTCTCAAAAAAAAAAAAGTTTTAAAAGGAAATATTGGCTTTATATTGGCAATATTCACAGCAAATATTGTGCTGGAATCCCAAATTCTAAAATCAGGATCTCTCTCTTTTTGTTTTGCTTCATTTTTAATGATAGGGCTCCCTTGTGTAGCCCTGGCTGTCCTGGAACTCACTCTGTAGACCAGGCTAGCTTGAACTCACAGAGATCAGCCCACATCTGCTTCCCCAGAGCTGGGATTAAAGGCCTGAACTACCACCTTCCTGCTTAAAGTGCTCTTTTTTTCTCCCTATGTCCCCATAATTTTCTCTGGCATTTTATCCTGACTCCCCAGCATTTGGAAGTTGCTGAGACAGGAGGATGATGTAAAGTATTTGTCAGTCTGGGCTACAAAGTGAGACCATGCAGGGCATCCTTGAATACAGAGTGGGTTTGGGACCTGCTTGGGACACACGAGACTGTGAAGAACCAGCCTGCCTCCACCTTCGGCTTAAAAGCCATCTCATTACTAAATAAAAGGGGGAAAAAAAGCTGTTGGGACTGGAGATGGCTCAGGGGTTAAGAGCACTGGCTGCTCTCCCAGAGGTCCCGGGTTCAATTCCCAGCAACCACATGGTGGCTCACAACCACCTAGAATGAGATCTGGTGCCCTCTTCTGACCTGCAGGCACACATGCAGGCAAAATACTGCATATAAAAGAGAGAAAGAGATCGATCTGTCTTTGTTCAGAAGGTTATATGACCACCTATGACTGCCTTCTTATGCCCATCTTGCAAGCATGTCTATGTTTCAGGGGCCCATGTAGGACTAACTTGTTATGCCTCTGTTCTGCTCCTGTAACCCAGCCTATTTTGCTACCCAAGTCCCCATTTGGAAACCCCCTACCCGAGTTGTAAAGGCCTTGTCTTCCTCACACCCGTGGCTGACCTCTCGAACCCCACCTTAGAGGGAGGCAGCCTGTGTCCACGGATAGCAAAGCTTGTTTTAATTGACTTGCCATGATGATTTGGGTCGGTGGTCGTTCTCCATCCACCTTGGGGATTAACGACTGTATGACAAAAGGCATAAAGAACAAAAGGAGCTACTCAAAAGAAGTGACCCCTGATTCATCGAAGGGAGTGCTTGAAGAGTCGATCTTTGGGGATGAGACGAGGGACGCTGAAAAGGAGCTAGCTCTACCGGTAGTTTAGGGCGTGGCCAGCATCAAGAGAGATTCCCTGACTGGGAAGCTGCTCCCAGGACTGAAGGCAGGGCGGGGTGAGGGGGACAAAGCTGCGAGCAGGAGGCGGCTGGAGAAGCGTGGGCATCGGACAGGTAGGAGTGGAAGGTGAGGACCCCGTTTCAGAGGAAGGGAAAGTGGGACCAGGAAAGGACCAATGCCTCAGAACAGCTTGGCGGCGGGAGGCTCGGGTGAGGCGAGATGGGCGGGCAGGTGGCGGGATGCAGAGGGGCAGAGGGCGGGCTGGGGCTGACATACTCACCGGCGATCGGAAGGGCCCATAGCAATTTCGGCCGAGTCCTGAATCAATCCTGGGGAGAAACCCGAACAAAGGGCTGATGAGATGGGGTCACCGAGGGGGCGTGGGAGCCGCAGAGGGGAGAAGGCTGGACCGCGGTCCAGCTGCAGGGCATTACCCTGAGCTACCGGGACGGGGCAGGGGCCTTGGAGGTCGGGGTGCGCATGGTGGGAAGTGAACTGGGAGGAGAAAGGGCTGCGAGAGGCCTGGTGAGGGGAAGTCTGGGATGAGGCGTGAGAGTCGGGAAAGGGCTGGGAAATGAAGCGCCGCGCGCTCCTCGCCCACCTCCTGAGCCCCGAGGTCCGAGGTACCCGGATCGGGGTCGTCTGATGCATAGAAGGGTCCAGGGTTGGGGTTTAAACGGCTGCCGCAGCGCCTTCAGGTAACCAGAAATCAGCGATGGAGACCACCAAGCGACGCCCGTCAAGCTGCGCGCGCACCAAGCTAGGGAGGTTCCGCCCCTCCTTCCGATAGGTGGCGGAACGGGGTCATGGCTGCGCGCGCAGCTTTCCTCGTCTGCTCCACCGGTTGCTCCCGCCTCGCGGCAGTGCGGCCACGCCTCCCCGTCATTCATCGTTCTCGTCAACCAATGGGCTTGGAGAGGGTAGGCCAGCTGCGTTTCCCAGAGGCCTGGTGGCGCCTGGCACCCGCCTTCTCTGCCACTCAGAGCCCTGTAGCTGCCGGAAGCAGTTCCGCAGTGGCTGCCGGGATCGTGGTGATGTGGCCCCCCCGCTTCCCCCCTCCCCACCCCGGGATGTCGGAAGAAACCAGGCAGAGCAAATTGGCTGCGGCCAAGAAAAAGGTAAAGCGCTCCGGGTCGCGGCCCCTTGACCCCACCCGAGCTCCTCCGACGGCCGGACCATGACCAGAGTCCGAGCCTTTCCCGAGACACACGGGAAGAACCCCTCAGCGCCCTGGGCTCCCCAGTAAAGTCTTCTCAGCCAGCCCCGCCCCCTCAACAACCCAGCCCCCCGCCCGCTCGCCCGTCCGCCCGGTCGCCCCTGGCTGACTTTGGCCAGTGACTTCAGGGTCTTTCGGTCCCCAGCTCCGAACCACAGCTCTCTGGGCCCCTGTCTCCAGGGACCTCGCTCCTGGCCCTGTACTCTCATCCCCCGCAGTTCCCCGGAGCGGCGAGGCGGGCGTTGGTAGTGTGGAGTGGAATGTAGTTACGTCACAGGCCCCCTCGAAACTGTCATTACTATCCGGAGGCCGGTCTTGGAGCGTCCCTCCTGCTCACCTAAAGTCGTCAGCCCTTTTCCTGTTTCTGGGGGAGCACCTATTTCCACCTGGAAGGGCGCTCGAGTACGGAGACGATTCAGGCGCCCACAGCCCTTTAACTTAGCCGTTAATGTGAGCACAGGATACTGTCAGTGTCTCTGGCTGACGTGGAAGAACGGGTGTGGATTGGGTTGGGATTTTTTAGTGTTCCACTCGCTAAGAGACTGAAATGTCCCTGGACATTTGCAAAATGCATGTTTATTGTGGATCAGTTTTTTGGGAAACTGAACAGCTTCCAGTCGGCTTCTCAGACTAGGTGGTGAACACCACAGGGTAAACATGAGGCATCTCTCAGAAGCATCCCTTTCCCATGAGCCTTTTGAGACACTAACATAAAAGTCAGGCATGGCGTTTTCATAGATTTGTCAGAATCTTCCCTCTGCAGTAAAATCTTCTCTCTGAAATGATGCTTAGGTTGGGCTTCCCCGGTCTCCTGTTCACGAAGGCTCGCCTTCGTGAGTTCTTCCCTCGTGTTAGGTTGTAAAAGTTTTAGGAAGTACTGCGGTGTTGGTAAAGGGCCCCAGTGGGGTTAGGCATGTAGCTAAGTTGTTAGGGTGTTTGTTTAGTGTATGCAAGGGCCGGTTAGTTGGCAAGAGTGTTTGCCTAACACGTATGAGTTCTGGGTGGGTCCCAACATGGCCTGAACTGGGCAAGACAATGCAAGCCTGTATCCCAAGACTCTGGTGGTAGAGGCAGAAGGATCAAAACTTCAAGGTTATTTTTGTCTTTATATGGAGTTTGAGGCCAGCATGGTATATGTAATATTCCATCTTTACAAAAAAAATGGTTGGAGCTGGCGAGATGGCTCATCAGGTAAAGCACTTGTTGGCTCTTGGAGAGGACCTAGGTTTAACTCCTATCACCCACATGTCAGCTAGCATCCATCTGTAACTCCAGTTCCAGAGATTCCGTATGACGCCCTCTTCTGGCCACCTAGGTTACCGCATGTACACTATGTACAGATAGATATGTAAGCAAAAACTCATAAAATAAAAATCTTTTTTATTAAATTAGATTAATTAATTTTTTTGTTTTTGAGAAGTATCTATGTAGTCCTGACTGTACTGGAACTCACTGTGTAGACCAGGATGACCTCAAACTCACAGAGATCCACACCTGCCACTGCCTCCCTAGTGCTGGGATGAAAGTTGTGGGCTACTATGCCCAGCAATCTTTTTTTTTTTTTTAAATGGAAACTATATATGCTCAGTAGTAAAGTACTGGTGTCTCATGCATATCACTCCAGGTTCAGCTTCCAGTACTACCATACACACGTGCACACACACACACACACACACACACACACACACACACAAAGACAAAAAAAGAAAAGAGAAAGAAAAAGCCATTGACTTGAGGTTTTATTGACAGTACTTTGGCTTTTGAGAATAAGATGGTTCATTGGGTAAAGTATTGCCCCACAAGCAGAACTTGAATTTGGATTTCTTAGAACCCACATAAAACCAGACATGGCAGTATGAATCTGTAAGCCCAAGTGTTTTCTGGCTAGATGGAAGGTAGAGACTGAACTCCTAGGAACAGAAGGGCCACCTAGCCTGTTGTGTTTGCTGACAAGAGACCTGTCTCAAAGTGGAAGAGACTGTCCTCTGACATTCTTGTGTGCACCATGATATACCCAGGTACCCTCTCCCAGTATACAGACATACATGTGCATGACACACACACAGAGACACGCACGCACGTACATATTTTGAAGATGGAATTTCCATCACCCACGATGATTGACAGTCATCTGAGACTCCAGGTCAAGGGTTCTGACACCAACCTCTGACTTCTGTGTGCATCACATATACACCCAGTGCACATATATACACACATGTGGGCAAAATATTCATGCACATAAAATAAATTTAAAAATAAGTAAGAATAAAGACATGGTCCTGCTTTGTATCCTTCACCGGCCTGGAACTTGCTATGTAGACCAGGCTAGCTTAACTCATCACTCCGTCTGCCTCTCCTTTGAGTGCTAGGATTAAGGGTGTGTACCACCATGCTCAGCAAGATAAAATGTTTTGAAAAAAAAAGAAGGGGTTTTAAGGTTCAGTATGTAGTTTTTGTCTGCTGGTTCATTTGTTTGTTTGTTTTCTTATTCTGAGACTGGGTATTGCTGTGTAGCCAAGGCTGGCTTCAAAGTCTCATTTCTCTTGCCTGTCCCTTCCAAGAGTTGGGATTATAGATAGGGGAGAACACACCCAGCTAGTTCTTACCTGCTGAATGTTTACTCTCTGATTGCTACCTCTAGATTTTCCCTTGGGAGCTGCAAACCCCAGAGCTGGGAATCAGAAGATTGAGTTTAAATTCCGTGTCTGCTTCTGTGTGTGTGTGTGTGTGTGTGTGTGTGTGCGTGCGCGTGCGCGCGCACGCGCGCGCATGCGTGTGTGTTACTGGGGATGAACTCAGGGCCTCTTGAATGCTAGGCAAGTATTTTCCACTGAGCTACATTCCTAAACCAATTACTGCCTTCTTAACCATTTCTTCGGCCATTAAAATGTCATTATGATATCTTGTAGAATTGTGGTACTATTACATAAGACTTACATATTTAAGAGTATTTTTATTAAAAATGCATGGGAGGGAACTGGGCATGAAGTTCAGCTGGGAGAGTACTTGCCTTGCTTGCCCAAAGCCCTAGGTTTGCTCTCCAGCACTGTATAAACAAGGTATGGTGGCACATATCTGTAATCCTAGAGCTTTTAGAGGTTGAGTCTTCCATATCTACATAGTGGGTTAGAGTTCACCCTGGGATACATAAGACCCTGTCTCAAACAAACAAGCATACAGAAACACCACACAAAAACTGCTTAATAAACTGGAATTCCAGCTGGAGTGGAGGCTGTGAGTATGGGACAAACGGCTTTCATGAGTAGTTGTTCTCTTTTTCACAGTTGAGAGAGTATCAGCAGAAGAACAGCCCTGGTGTTCCTGCAGGAGCAAAGAAGAAAAAAAAGATTAAAAATGGCAGTAGCCCTGAGAAAACCACCACCAGTGATTGTCAGTCACCAGAGGATGTGAGTCTGGGTTACAGAGTCCTGGGGATGGGGTGGAGAGGGCTGTGGTTCAGGTGGAAGTGTCAGTGATGGTTAAAATTTCTGGCTTTGAGGACTGGGAGCCTAGTTCAATGGTAATGAATTAAGCCTCACCTGGAAAGAGACCCTGGGTTTTATCTCAGCACAGAAAAATAAAAGTAAAATCTGGGTCTGAATCCTATCTCTCCATCTGCTAGAAATATGATAAGATTTAGGGCAAGTTGTATGAACATTTTGAGCCTCTTCTTACATATCTATAAAATAGCAGCAATATTGTTTAATGTATATTTACAAAATTTAAATGAACTTAGTTGCTGTTGTTTTTATGTTAATTCCCCAAATAGAGAGCCTGCTTGGAGTAAATAGTGATTCAGCATTAGGGGCTGCTTGATTTTCTTGGTTTGTGGGTAGAAACCATGCCAGAGGGAACATCATTTGTTCTCAGGCTTTCCTAAGAGGAAGCAGCAGTAAGAGAAGATCTAAGTTTTAAGTCCATCTTTGTCATGAGCTTGCTGGGTTTCTTCAGGAAAGTCACCACACAGTTTATCTGACAAGATGATGGTGGACTCACTTGGTGTCTTACAGACTTGCTTTTCAGCTGGATGATAGCAGTATAAGAGAAGTCTTAGCTGAGAGTCTGGTTTTGAAGGTGGACATGGGTTCTGGGGCTTTTCAGATTGTTCCTGCAATCCTGGGTCTGTAGAAAGGGTCTCAATGTTGAGTTGCTGCAGTGGTCAAGCGAGTTGATTGCATCCCTTGGGGGACTCTTATTTACTCTGAGGGCTGCAGCTTACGAAGCAGCAAGTGGCGGTTTGGACAGATGGTGCAGGCCCTGGGTGCTGATCTCTGCTCTTTGAGTGTTCCATTTCCTTGACCGGTTCTCTTCTTCCCGCCCTGACTTTCTTGCCTTTCTCCCCCTGCCCTTGTTTTTCCTTCTCGCCTGCTATAGATTCAGGACATTCTGAAGGTGTTGGTGTCCGACCTTAACCGTTCCAATGGGGTCTCACTCCCCCCATTAGACAAGAGGAAGGTGAGGCAGTGTCGAGACTCCCTCTGGCTTGCTCTCCCAGTCATGCATGCTCCAGAGGCTTCCCTGCTTTGGGGAACCTCTGCCACTGGCTTATTTTATGTTGCCTCAGTTAACCCTTAGCCCCCATGTCTGCTTCGTCAACTGCTTGCTTGATTGGGATTCTTTTTTCTTTCTCCGTATCATTTCTCATCCTGGAGAAGGAGTTGAGATCCACCTTGAAAGTTACAGCTGACTGAAGAGATAACTTTCAGATGAGGTGTGAGTTGTGGGCTTCTGAACGCCCAGCATGGTGCTGTTAGACTGGGACAGGTGGAAACAAAACACCTTTTGGGCTTGCCCTCTGGGCATCTGTCTCCAAAAGACCAGACCATGGAAACCCGCAATTCTTTTTTATGATTCATCTTGCTTTGAAACTTAGGAACATAAGGTTATGAGAAAGTGAATTTGCATTATAGTTTCTGGAATTAAGACTTTTTTTCTAAGAAACTAACTGGGCAGTGGTGGCACACACCATTAATCCCAGTGAGTGAGCTCTAGGACAGCCAGGGCTACACAGGAAACCCTGCCTCATGGGTGTGGGGGAGAAAGAAACTGTCAGAGGTAAAGTTAACTACCAAATAAATGACCAGGAGACTCTGCCCGCTGTGTCTTTGAAAAATCAGTGGGCCCTTGATAGGAAAGGCTCTGGTAAACAGTGACAAAAGTAGACGAACACCCAGGTGTACTGGCACATGCCCATAAAGCCCAGTGCTTGGGAGACACATGGATGGTAAGTCCCAAGATAGCCTGGGCTACGTAGTGAGACCCTGTCTCACACAAATACCAGATTACTTGAGCCAGATGCAATGCTGTGTGACATCCAGGATGCCTCATGTAGTAACAGATGCTTCCCAGTGGACTCGAGGCTGGAGAAGGGGCATTTGCGGCTATCTGATGATGAAAGATGGTTCCTGTTCATCCACGTGGAGAGCTGGGGAGCAGAGGAGCAGGGAGCTCACAGGCAGGCACCTTCAGAGATACGGGGAGTCTGGGTGGCACAGAACCTGTGTCTGCAGGGCTTGGAGATGGCCTCCTGGACATGACTTTAGTCCTTGTTTCAGTTAACACTTGTCAAACAAAAGGAGCAGGCTTTTGTCCAACTGAAGGAGTGGCCTGAGCCAAGGCCACATCCTTTTAGAGCTGAGTGTGGAATGGACTGAAGACTCTTTTTCAGCCACTAGCTGCTCCTGGCCAGATGTTGTGGTGTGCTCAGGGGCTGTGCTCCATCTCTCAGTTCATTTGCTGTGCTCAGGAGTCAGTCACACTGAGAGCCTGGGCCTCAGCTTCCTCACTGGAAAAATTAATCTGAGTACCCAGCCCCCTCTCCTGGTGTTTCTGAAAACTTTCTTGAATCAGTAACGGATTTTCCAAACCAGGAATGAAGGAGAATGGTGTCTTCTGAGCAGAGAAGATACAGGAAGTTATAGAAAGATAAAAGTCTTTCTGGCGTGGTGCTGCCTTTAATCCCTGGATCTCTGTGAGTTCAAGGCTAGCCTGGTCTACAGAGTGAGTTCCAGGACAACCAAAGAGACACAGAGAAACCCTGTCTCGAAAAAACAAAAACATAGTTTCTAATTGGCTGGGACGTTTTAAAAACTCCATGTTTAGCCGTAAGACTTAAAATTGGGGAGTTATTTGGTGCTCATTAGCCGTGTGTGGTGTCTTATCCGTTTCTGAGATGCCCCAAGGGACCCAGAGCCTAGGAGAGTTCTGTCACTTAGTGGCACACTCCCTGACTGTCTGTGTCCCTGCTCTTACTGGTTATATTCAACTGTAGAGCTGTCAAGGCAACATGTATGGGAATTCCAAGTTGATAGTCACATGGGATTCCAGGGACTTGGCCACAGTAACCCTGCAGAGCGAGGCTCACCCTTGTTCTTCAAGGTTCTCGATTGCTCAGTGGAGGAAATTTGGTCAGCGTTCAGGAGGCTGAGACTGAAGGCTCAGAAAGCAGGCAGCCTGTCTTTGGACAAAGGCATGGCCATTGCCTCCCAGACCAGCCTTGCTGGGCAGGCATGGGCTCCCTGACTCTCCCCCTTTGGCTTCCTATTCTCTGCCCATCTAGCTTATTGGACATTAGAAGACCTCTAAACCAGAGACATTTTGTTTTGTCTTGTTTTTCAAGACAGGATTTCTCTTTGTAGCCCTGGCTGCCCTTGAACTCAGAAATCCACCTGCCTCTGCCCCCCACCCCCAGTGCTGGGATTAAAGGTGTGTGTTACCACTACCCAGCCAGAGACATATTCTAAAGTAAGTCCTAAACCACTGGGCGTGGTGGTGGCACATACTCAGTGAGTTCGAGGCCAGCCCTGCAGCCTGGTCTACAGAGTTAAGTTCCAGGACATTCAGAACTGGATAGTAAAACCCTGTCTCAAAAATGTGTGTGTGTGTGTGTGTGTGTGTGTGTGTGTGTGTGTGTGTGTGTGTGTGTGTAAGAGTGAGGTCTAAGCCTGAGGAGTGACTGGGTACAGCTGGTAAAGCAGATGGTTCCCACAGGGGAAGTAAGGAGGTTTCCACAAACCGCCACATTCTGAATCCCTGGCTGCTGTTCCTAGGAAGGTCATCTGATCTCCAGGATGCTGCAAGCCAAAGGGTGGCCATTGGTCTCTGCTTTAATTAACAAACATAGCCAGTGCGTAGTTCTGGAGAAGGGAAGGCAGGAAAGCAAGAGGAGAGGGGTGAATGGTTATGTTGACCATGGTGACTAGTCCATCCCAGGAGCAGGCCGTAGTCAGGGTCACAGTAGGTACAGGCTGGCTCTCTGGCTCCTGGACTTGGACACTTCCTGCTTTGGCTGCCGCAGGTCAGAGCTCCAAAGGGAACAAGGTCCTCGGGTGTTCAGGAAGGAGACCCTGCAGCCTTTGCTTTGAGCTTTGGCCTTCAGAATGCTCCTCAGTGGCCTGAGGCCTGGGCAGGCCGTGTCTGTCCCCAGTAGCTCCCGCATGTGCGACTGTCCTGTGACTGCTGCTCTCCTACCCTGCTTGCCCCATCACCTCATGTCCATGGCAGCGAGGCTCCTTGTGGTCGTCTAATGCCCCTGCTCTGTTCTATGACAGGCGCCCACAGACTGTGCTGCTCCTGCACCGCCAACTGCTGATGATGACACTATGTTTCTTGGTGTTGTCCCTTCCCCTGATGCTGACCTCACTAGCATGGCATCACCTCAGGTTTGTGCTTTTTCCCTTTTGCTTGCTGCGCTCCTGTCTGCTTGCCAAAGGACTTTACCTTCTCCGAATTCTCTTCTCTCTTCTGGTAGCTTGGTTCAGGTGCTGCTCCTGGAGCCTGATGTGGGGAGGCTTGGGGAGATGGGTGTTGATGAGCTTGGCCTACCTCGTCCCTGGTGATGATAAGCAGAAACTGAATAGTGACCTGATTTGTTTCTACCCATACAGAGCCACGATGCTGGCAATTGTTCTAACCTCATGGAGGAGACCAAGTAAGCGTTCTCTACTGAGGGAGTCAGGGCAGGCCTCTGCCCACGAGTCGGGTTCTTATCAAGCCACCTGTACCCCTGACCTTCTGTCTCCTTCCTTAGGACTTTCTCATCAACTGAGAGTCTGCGACAACTTTCTCAACAGCTCAACGGGCTTGTGTCTGAGGTACCGCAGGATTGGGGTCCAGAGAGAAGGTAGAGGGGAAAGAAAAGCATGGTAGAAGCTGAAGCAGGGATTCTCAGGAGACTGACTCATGAGAGGATCCTGGCAGACTCAGAAGACAGATTTGGACCCTGACGGGTGATGTGATTTTATCCTGGTGTAGAAAGTGCGAGATGACAGCTGTTGAGGGCAGGGGCTGAGCCGTGGCGGGATGAGAACCATGAGGGGTGTGAGAAGAGAGGTCCAAGGTCGGCAGGAGAGCAGATTCTGCTAGTTGAGGGGAAGTAAGGAGGCTGGAGGGATTAGACATTGAGGGTGACAGAGCATCTCCATATGAGATGTTGTCTCTCCTAGACTACATCCTACATCAATGGGGAGGGCCTCGTGTCTTCCAACATGAAGGAACTGGAGGTGAGTAGCCGTGGAACATGGTTCCGACCCTTTAAGCCAACCACCTATCTCCTTGTACAGTGGGACCTGAGTGCCCACTGCCAGCCGAGACAGCCCACTACCCCCCAACCCTAATGATGCTCTCTCTACCTTTCCCCCCTCCCTCCTCCAACTCCTCCTCTCTGCATGCGCCTCAGAGCCGGTACCAAGAGCTAGCCGGAGCCCTGGACTCCAGCTATGTAACAAACAAACAACTCAGTAGCACGATAGAGGAATTGGTAAGAGTCCAGTGGGGTCCCTGATTCCTTCTGCCAGTCCTGGGCTTCAGTTTCCCCTTGGGGCTCTGAAGAGAGAGACTGGGAGCCCCTGGGGCCAAAGGGTAACGGGAGACCTGGGGGCCTCAGTCTCAACTGGAGGCAGCAAGAGCATCGAGCATGCAGCATGGTTCTTCTCGCTGCTCCCACCTCTTTCTGTACTCTAGACTCCCAGAGTGAGTCCTCACCACACTTGTCCTGAGCTTGGTGCCTCCAGTGGGAGAGAACACAAACCCAGTTGGTTGTCAGGAGCTCCATGTCTTGCCCTGGCTTAGGTCCTAATTTTCTTTTTGATTTTGGCCACAGTACTCCCTGGGTTTGAGTTTCCTGTTGAGGCAGAGTTGGAGAGTGTCAGAGACCTCTTTCCACTCTTAAGTGGCAAGAATTTAAAGACTTAGCTGGGTGGTGGTGGTGGCCCACGCCTTTAATCCCAGCACGGAGGCAGAGGCAGGTGGATCTCTGTGAATTCAAGGCCAGCCTTGTCTATTAGAGTCTATTAGTTCCAGGACAGCTAAGGCTATTACAAACTGAAACCCTGTCTCAAAACACCGCCCCCCTCAAAAAAAAAAAAAAAAGAATTTAAAGATTTACTGAGCCGGGTGGTGGTGGCATACTCTTTTAATCCCAGCACTTGGGAGGCAGAGGCAGGTGGATCTCTGTGGGTTCAAAGCCAGCCTGGTCTACAAGAGAGAGTTCCAGGACAGGCTCCAAAACTACAGAGAAACTGTCTTGGGGAAAAAAAGAAGACTTACTGAACTGTCAGAACAAAGTACTCTCCCGTTCCTCTCTTGGCTGTACAAGATACAGTCAGTTCTTAACTCTGCACACTGTTCCAAGTTGGCAGAGGGTAGTCTTCTTTCTCAAACTTGTTTCTAGAGTTACTGTTCTTTAACTTAGACCCAGATTCAGACCTCTGTGGCATAGTTGTAATTGAGAGGCAGCCAAGACACAAACTGTAGTTTCCTTGGGAACTTGAGTAGTTTGTTGGTTCATGAGCCCCTGGGATTCTGAGCTCCTTTTTCAAATTCATCTCCCTGCTCTGTCTTGGCCTGGGGTGGCATAAAAGAGACCAGCCCCAGTCACCTTCCTTTGACTCTTCCCACAGAAACAACAGAACCAAGATACTCTGGATCAACTGGAAAAAGTACTGTGGTTTCTGCGTTTGTTCTTTTCTTGGCTGATGGGGTTGGGGGGAGGCCTTAGAGCTGCAGGCCTTGATCTTGCTTGCTTCCCTCTTGGAGAAGACTCACCCCACAGGGTGTCCTCCATAAGATCCTTGATAACCTGGCTTCATGGTGGACCTGTCCTGGGCCACTGGTGGTTTTCTGGGGGCTCGTCCCTGCTGGGATTCTGCACCCCTGCTAAGAGCTGCACTTCCCATGCCCATAGGAGAAGAAGGATTATCAGCAGAAGCTGGCAAAGGAGCAGGGAGCTCTCAGGGAACAACTGCAGGTGAGTGGCCTGCATGGTGTCCCTATGTCCCCCAGAGAGCATGTCTCTCTTTTCTTTCAGCACTTTTGGACTTTTTCTCCCAAAGGTTCACATTCAGACCATAGGCATCCTGGTGTCTGAGAAGGCAGAATTACAGACCGCCCTGGCCCACACACAGCAAGCAGCCAGGCAGAAAGCAGGTAGGATCAGGGCACCCTTCAGCCTTATGCTGATGCCTTGGCAACCCTGAAGGAGGGTCCCTAGGGCTCCATCTAGACCACTCTTATTTCAGGAGAATCAGAGGATCTCGCCAACCGTCTACAGTCTTCCCGACAGCGTGTGGGAGAGCTAGAGCGGACATTGTCTACTGTGTCAACGCAACAGAAACAAGCAGACAGGGTAAGACAACCCCTCTGGCCATCAGCAGCTTCCTGGTGGACAGTAAGCTTAAAGTGCTCTTCTGCACAGTCCAGTGTCTTGCTGCTGACAACCCACCATGGACTGTTTGTTGCTGCTTTTGTTGTGTGGTTGGAAGAAACAAACTGGGGATGAGTCCACAGCTGTGTAACTGGGGACTGTGCGAGCGAGCTCAGGTGGGAATCATTTTGCTTCTGTCCCCTCTGAGTTTTGGAGTGTGTGAATAGTCCGTTCAGAGGAGAGCACAAGATCCAAACAGAAGTTAATTTTCCTCCTCTTGTCTACAACCCCCAGGGAGAACGTGCCTAGAGATTTAGACACCCCAAAGTGCTCAAGTCCCACCCTGGCTAAGTGACTTCGGGCCAACACTTTTGTATACTGTGTTTCTGCCCTGTGGGGATGACAGCAACTGTTCTTGATGGGTGTGAGATTGGTGGATTAGCAGTGGTGTCTGGTGAAGTGTTCAGTGAATAAATTAACACCAATAGTGTCTGAGAATTCTGGCCAATCATAGTCTGTTGTGAATGCCTTGGCCTCCATATGCTAAAATCAGTCTTAAGGCAATACATCCTGGTCTCAGTCTTTTTCCTCTGCCTACTTCATCTTATGGGAATTATTTTTTGTTTGTTTGTTTTTGTTATTTTGTTTTTTCAGGACAGGGTTTCTCTGTGTAACCCTACCTGTCCTAGAACTCTGTAGACCAGGTTGGCCTCAAACTTAAGGATCTCCCTGCCTCTGCCTCCCAAGTGCTAGGATTAGAGGTACAAACCACCACCAGCTGGTACAAGAGTTCTCTTATCTATCCATCCATCTATCTAGTTTTTCAAGTCAGGGTTTCTCTTTAGTTTTGGAGCATGTTTTGGTACTGGCTCTGTAGACCAGAGATCCACCTGTCTCTGCCTCCCAAAAGCTGGGATTAAAGGTGTGAGCCTCCACCGCCCAGTTTATTTCTATTTTTAAGGCTTATTTACTTTGTGTGTGTGTGTGTGTGTGTGTGTGTGTGTGTGTGTATTGCTTGCATGTGCACTACACGCATAGCTGGTGCCTGTAGAGGGCAGAGGCTCTTGGATCTCCTGGCACGGGGTCTGTCATGTTGGTGCTGAGAACCAAACCAGGTTTTTCTTTTTTGGTTGTTGTTGTTTTGTTTTTGCTTTTTGTTTTTTGAGACAGGGTCTCTGTGTTGCCCTGGATGGCCTGGAACTCACATAGATACCTCTGCTTCCTGAGTGATGGCATTTAAAGTGTTGTCCCACCACTGCCTGGTTCAGGAGTTCTTATTTAAAAAAAAAAAAAAAAAAAAAACTAGGAAAAAAAAAAAAAACAAAAGAAAAGAAAAGAAAACAAAAAAACCCAAAGGAGTTAGCTGGGAAGTGGCCTTTAATCCCAGCATTTGGTAGACAGGGGCAGGTGGATCTCTGAGTTTGAGGCCAGCCTGATCTACAGAGAGAGCTACAGGACAGCCAGGGCTACAGAGAGAAACCCTGTCTTGAAACTCCCACCTCTGCCCCAAAAAAGGAGTTACCAGGGAGGCATGGTGGTGAATATCTTTAATCCCAGTACTATGGAGGCAGAGGCAGGTTGATGTCTGCAAGTTGAGGTCAGTCTGGTCTACATACTGAGTTCTAGGACAACCAGGGCTATATAGAAAGACCCTGCCTCAAAAAAAATTATAAATAATTTTTTAGAAAAAAGAGTGAGCCAGATGGAGTGGCACATGCCTGTAATTCCAGCACTTGAAAGAGAAAGGCCAACCCCATCTGCTTGAAACTCTTCTCATAAAACCAAAATGAATGCTGGGCACCAGGAGGCTGAGGCAGGAGGGTTCAAGGCCATCTTGGGCTATAGTGTAAATTCTAGTATTGCCTGGTTGCTTAGACCCTGCTTCAGAGGAAAAAATAAAAGAGAGCCAAGGTGTTATTGGTCAGTGGTAGAGTAATTGACTGGCCTGTACAAGGACTTGAGTTTGATCCCTAGCCTTGTAAAAAAAAATTATTGTTGTCAATTAAAAACAAAAATGGGGTAGGGGTATAGAGATGGCTCAGTGGTTAAGAGTATTGACTGCTCTTCCAGAGGTCCTGGTTTCAATTCCCAGCACCCACACGGCAGTTCTTAAATGTGTGTAACTCAACAAGTTCCAGTGAATCCAACTCCCTCACAAAGCCATGAAGGTCAAACACCAATGCATTAAAAAAACAAACAGGGGAAGAGACAGAAATCTTTAATAAATAAATAAATAAAAAAGAACATCAAAATTTCACAAGTAAAAAAAAAAATAAACAAACAAAAAAAACAAGACTAGAGAGATGGTTTAGCAAATAAGAGCAGCACAGGCTGCTCTTCCAGATGATCCAGGTTTAATACCCAGTACCCACATGGTGGTTTATAACTGCCTGTAATTCATGCTTGTGGAGCATAGACATATATGTAGGCAAAATGCCAATACATGTAAAATAAATAAAAGTTAAAAAAAAATAAACCAACCCTGAAGGCTATAACTGGACCTTTGGTCCCAGCTATTGGGGAGGCCAAGTCAGGAAGGTCATCTAAACACAGGAGTTTGAAGCGAGCTAGGAAAACATAGTGTGACCCAATCTTAAAAACAAAACAAAGCTGGGCATGGTGGCGCACACCTTTAATCCCAGCACTCTGAAGGCAGACACAGTGGGATCTCTGAGTTTGAAGCCAGCCTGGTCTGCGGAATGAGTTCTAGGACAGCCAAGGCTACACAGAGAAACCCTATCTTAAAAAAACCAAACAAACAAACAAATACACGGAAACACAAATGAGACCACAGGCCTAGAAATGCCTTGTGATAATGTTAAGTGTGACTAGAGGGAGGAAATGTCACTGTGGAATATCACTGGGCCCATTGGTGTTGTGTCAGCTGTCTCTTCAGCCTGCCAGGTCCAGACTCAGCTTTCTTTATCTGCAGTACAACAAAGACCTAACCAAAGAGCGAGATGCCCTCAAGCTGGAGTTGTACAAGAACAAGTAAGAATGGGAAGGAGGTTGGGCCTTCTGCAGCCTTTTGCAGGGAATGGAGGGTCAGAGGAGATGGGTTTGGGCTTGTGTAAGCTGTGCTCTTGTCCTAGCCGTGCTCCCAACTCATGGTGTGGCCTGTTACTTGTGTCTTGATGCTGTGTCTGTGGCTTAGTGGCAAGGCTAATACGTTACTCAAAAATGTGGTCCTTTCTTTTTTTTTGGTTCCTTCCTTTCTGCACTGCCTCTTTGGCCATAGCAAAAATAACGAAGATCTGAGGCAGCAGAACTCAGAACTGGAAGAGAAACTTAGAATCTTGGTGGCGGAAAAAGCAGCTGCACAGTTGGGGGTGGAGGAGCTGCAGAAGAAGCTGGAAATGTCGGAGCTGCTGCTGCAACAGGTGATAGGTGCAGCCCATACCCCTAAGCCCCAGGTACACAGTCTCAGCATCCTTGTAAGCGACCTGTAGCCAAGCACTGGACAGTTTGAAGCCTTCTCCTGGCCTGCTATAGAATTCTTTGCTAAATGTTCAGCAGTGGAGCCCTGACCATACCTGTGGAGTCATAATCTTAACTGGTCACTGGTATGGCTGTTAAATTTTTATTTTTTGAGATGTACTGCTTGAAATTGTTTTTGTTTCTTTATTTATTCATGTTGTTGAGTCAGAGACAGTAGCCAGGGTGACTTTGAACTCATGGTAGTCTGCTTACCTTAGCCTTCCAACTGCTGAGGTTGCAGGCAAGAGCCACTATACCCAGCTGAAAAGCCACCATTCTGTTTCATTTAAATGAAATCTATGCAGGAGGCTGCTTACTGCTTCCAGACACTTTTCTCATATGGCAATGACCCTGAGTTGTTCATTAGTCCTAGCTCACACTCTTGTGGGGAGCACTGCAGTAGAACCCCTGGTTTTCCTTCTACAGTTCTCTAGCCAGTCTGAGGCCTCCGATAGTAACCAGCAGCTACAACATGCCATGGAGGAGCGGGCTCAGCTAGAGACCCACGTAGGCCAGGTGAGGATTTGTGAGGGGAGAGGAGGGGACAATCCCAGGTGGCCGTGAGAACCAGGGCAGCCCTTGGTAACTCGAGCGTTGACTGATACAGCTGATGGAGTCGCTGAAACAGCTCCAGATGGAGAGAGACCAGTATGCAGAGACCCTGAAAGGAGAGAGTGCCATGTGGCAGCAGAGGGTGCAGCAGATGGCAGAGCAGGTGAGGCCTGGCCCTGGGTCTCAGCTCTTCCTGAGCATCAGTGGACCACAGCTGACGGGCTAAGGGCATTGATTTTGCAGAGGTGGGACTGGGAGTGGATGGTGCCTGGGATCTCCAGCTTTTTCCCTGTGCCTTTGGGCAGGTGCACACACTGAAGGAAGAGAAGGAACACAGAGAAAGTCAGGTACAGGAGCTGGAGACCAGCTTGGCGGAACTCAGGAGTCAGATGGGTGAGTGGGGCGAGGGTGACCTAAGAGCAGAAGTGGGTCCAAGGCCATAAAGGTGGCTTCCGTTGCCCTGGGGAGGCAGGTAGGTACACGGGCATTGTAGCAGAGAACAAGCGGGCTCTGCAAGGAGATGGCAGGTTTGTCATCCCTCTGAGCATGTGTCCTTCTGTGCAAAGCAGGGTGGCATGCCACTGCTATCCCGGCAGGTGGCTGAGCATCACGGAACTGTACTAGAGTGACTTGAAATGCTTGCCCGGTCTGAGACCCTGACAGAAAAGAAGCCAGGGCTTGGGGCAGGAGCCTGACTCCAGCTCACAATGGAGCCTGTCTGAGAAGTCAAGTGTCTGTGCCTGCTTCCTTTCTCAGAGGAGCCACCACCCCCACAGCCTCCAGCTGGGCCCTCCGAGGTGGAAGAGCGGCTGCAGGGAGAGGTTGAGCAGCTGCAGAAGGAACTGGAGAAGCTGACGGGACAACTGAGGGCCCAGGTACAGGACAATGAGAGCCTGAGCCTCCTGAACCAGGAGCAGGAGGAGCGGCTGCTGGAGCTGGAGCGGGCCGCAGAGCGCTGGAGTGAGCAGGCGGAGGAGCGCAAGCAGATCCTGGAGAGCATGCAGAGTGACCGCACCACCATCAGCAGAGCGCTGTCACAGAACCGCGAGCTAAAGGAGCAGTTGGCTGAGCTGCAGAACGGCTTTGTCAGGCTGGTGCGGAGCTTGCAGGCCCTCCCTACTCAGGGAACACACTCACCCGTTCTGGTGATGGGCTGGGGATGGGGTGCTGTCCACCTCCCGTGAGGCCTGTGGGAATGATCCAGCAGCCTTCCCTGCTCTGGGGGAGGAGGTGCTCATACAGGTCTGGGCACCCTAACCACATTGGATCCTTATGACGGCTGCTTTCTGTCCAGACCAACGAGAACATGGAGATTACCAGTGCGCTGCAGTCAGAGCAGCATGTCAAGAAAGAGCTGGCCAAGAAGTTGGGCGAGCTGCAGGAGAGGCTGGGAGAGCTAAAAGAGACAGTAAGGCCTACCACATGTGGTGCCAGCCACTGGATGTGGGGGTAGGGTGGGGGTACAAGGCCCATCACAGATTAGCTGCAGCCGTGGACAGGCTTGCAAATCAGCCTATGACTGTTCTGTTATAGATTTTTTTTTTTGGTATTTCGAGACAAGGTTTCTCTGTAGCTTTGGTGCCTGTCCCAGAACTAGCTCTTGTAGACCAGGCTGGCCTCGAACTCCCAGAGATCCGCATGCCTCTGCCTCCCGAGTGCTGGGATTAAAGGCATGCGCCACCACTGCCCAGCTCTGTTATAGATTATAGAACCTGGGCCAAGGCTAGAGCTGACTCTTTTTTTTTTTTTTAATTTTACTTTTTAAAATATTTATTTGTTTGTTTATTTATTTATTTATTATATATACAACGTTCCTTCCATGCATGCTTGCACACCAGAAGAAGGCACCAAATCCCATTATAGATGACTGTGATCTACTATGTGGTTGCTGGGAATTGAACTTGGGTCCTCTGGAAGAGCAGTCGGTGCTCTTAACCTCTTAAGCCATCTCTCCAGCTCCTCAGAGCTGATTCTTCATAGTTGAAGGTTATACAAGGCTGGATTCACATCCATTTGTTCAAACATTTCCCATCACCAAACCTGTTTACTAAACTTAAAAGATGAGTTTCCTCATAGAAGTGTTGGAAGTTAAATGAGAAAATGTGCATAAACTAGTGGGCACTAGTGGTTTGTGCAGAACAATATGTGTTGATTCCATCTGCTTTTCCATATGTGAGGGAGGCCTAAAGTGGCAAAAAAGGTGACTGGGCACCCAGGCTTGGGCCCAGATGTGGAAGCCAGCCCCTGCCAGTCCTCAGGCCTAGCCTTCCTGCAGGTGGAGCTGAAGAGCCAAGAAGCACAGGGTCTGCAGGAGCAGCGAGACCAGTGTCTGTCCCACCTGCAGCAGTATGCCGCCGCCTACCAACAGCACTTGGCTGCCTATGAGCAGCTGACCTCCGAGAAGGAGGCACTGCACAAGCAGCTTCTACTGCAGACACAGCTCATGGACCAGCTGCAGCATGAGGAAGTACAGGGCAAGATGGCCGCTGAAATTGCCCGCCAGGAGTTGCAAAAGACCCAGGTAAGGCAGTCACTGAGGCTGGGCCCCAGTGGGAGAACCTGGCCACCTCTGTACCTTCTTTCTCACTCTTTCCTTGCCCCTTAGGAGCGCCTGGAAGCCACCAGCCAGGAGAACCAGCAGCTCCAGGCCCAGCTGAGCCTCTTGGCTCTCCCTGGGGAAGGTAAGACCATATAGGAGAGGGAGACCCAGACTCTTAACAGAACTGAGCGGACATCTTTGGAGAAGCTTTCAGAATGCTTGGGCATCTTCTAGTCAGTGGCTGGCCCCAGGGTATACAGTGGGGGCACAGAGGTGGGGTCCTGAGGTGTCTTCCCTTAGCCCACTGTCTACTTGCTGGGATTGTTAGAAGAGGCAACCTACTGTCTATCCCCAGGAGATGTGGAGGAGGAGGAGGAGGAGGAGGCTTCTCGGCCTAGTCTGACTATCCCAGAAGACCTAGACAGTAAAGAGGCCATGGTGAGTTGGCCTGTGCCCTGCCCCTTCTCTTCCCTGCCTCTGTGGTCCCTAAGTTTCCTGTCCTCTCATTTCTTTTGATTACCACGTTGTGCCTGGGCGCCTCTGGTCAGACACTCTCCCATCTGGGAATAGGTGCTCCCACTCTACCTCCCTGCCACCTCTTTCCTGAGCATCTTCCTAAGAAACACAACTCCTTCTTGTGTGCAGGTGGCGTTCTTTAACACAGCTATAGCCAGTGCTGAGGAGAAGCAGGCCCAACTACGCATGCAGTTGAAAGAGCAAAAGGCACGTTGCCGGAGCTTGGCTCACCTGGCAGCCCCAGTCCAAAGTAAGCTCGAAAAGGCGGCAGTGGTTCCCAGGAGTGTGAGTGACTCTGTGTCTGAGGAGAGCAACCAGGCCCTACATGTAGCCATGGAAAAGCTGCAGGTGAGTGTGTATTTGGGGGCTGGGAGGATGGGGCCAGCCAGGGCTCCTGAGTCTCTGAGACCTCTATCTTGGCTCCAGAGTCGCTTCTTGGAGGTCATGCAGGAGAAAGTAGAGCTCAAGGAGAGGGTAGAAGAACTTGAACATTGCTGCATCCAGCTTTCTGGAGAGACGGACACCATTGGTGAGGCAGAGCCCAGCCTAAGGCAGTTGGGGCTACACATGGGGCAGACTGGGTGAGCCTCGGTGACTGAGTGTTGTCCACCTGCCTGCCATCCCCACAGGAGAGTACATTGCTCTCTACCAAAACCAGAGGGCAGTGCTAAAGGCTCGGCACTTGGAGAAGGAGGAATACATTAACAGGCTAGCCCAGGACAAGGAGGAGATGAAGGTAAGCCCCACACTTCTGTGGTCTAGGCCCCATCTAGGCTGGGCTGGGACACTCAATTTATTGAGTGCTTTTACCTTCAGGTAAAGCTGCTAGAGTTACAGGAGCTGGTGTTGAGGCTTGTGAACGAGCGCAATGATTGGCAGAGCAAATTCCTGGCAGTCTCTAAGAACCCTGCTGATGTGCCCACCCTAGTGCCCACGGGCTCCCAGGAATTTGGAGCTGCTGAGCAGCAGGGTGGTGAGTATAGGAGCCCTTGGCTTGGGCAGGCACAAAGGGAAGAACTGCCTTTGCATGCAGAACCCTGACACCCCTCTCCCCTTTCTCTAAAGACCTTAGGGAGGTGAGCCTGGCTGACAGTATAGAGACTACACAAGGAGATGCTGGGGCGCCTGCTCCCCCTGAGAACCATACTGCACAGCAGATCATGCAGCTGCTGCGTGAGATCCAGAATCCCCAGGAGCGTCCAGGCCTGGGCAGCAACCCTTGCATCCCCTTTTTCTACCGTGCTGATGAGAATGACGAAGTGAAAATCATGGTTGTCTAAAAGACTGGCAGCCAAAGCCTCACCATGGGCAGCCAAAGGTTCTGCCCCAACCCACCCTTCTCGGTCACCCTTATCCTTATAATAATAAGGTCATATCCACCCCCTCCAGGGGCTGAGGAAGTAGCTCAGTTGGTAGAGTGCTTATCTGCCAAGCACATAGCCATGGGTTCTGTCCCCAACAATCTTGAAACTGGTGATGCTTGGAATTCAAGCACTTGGGAAGTGGAGGCAGGAGAATCAACCACCCTCATCTAGCTAGTAGGTTTGAGGCCACAGTGGGCTACACTGAGACCCTGTCTAAGAAAAAAAAAAAAACTCAGATGATCAGACTTCCTATATTACTGTGGGATACAAATGGGGATAGTCTGTGCCCTTTGGCCAGCGTGGTTTTACTTTCTAAACTCCTGTTAGAGAAAGAACACTGGACTTGGTGACTGAGCAGATTGGGTAGCTGATGGCTTCCTGATGAAGTTGTCTTTAATTGAGGGCCTCAGTCCTTACTCTAGACACTGGGACAGAACAATTTGGCAGCATTTTCATGGCCAGGTACAGCATAATCTGGCAGGTGCAATCTGGCCTTCAGCAGGGCTCCTTTATTTTACCATATCTCATTTCTTTCCACCCTCCTTTTTATCTTTATTTTCTTTAGACAGTATCCCAAGCTAACCCTGAACTCATTACACATTGACCTTGTGATTCTCCTGCCTCAGCGCTGTGCCTGGTATCTAGCAGTGCTAAGTAGCCATTCTACCAAATTGATATACACACCCATCACTACCTACCTTTCTGTGTGGTAGTGCTGGGGATGGAACCCAGGGCCCAGCACATCCCTAGACCAACTCCCATCTTCTTAGAGGCACTTTAGGGCAGTGGGGATGGGCAACATTTCCATGGTCCCCAGGCAGTTGGGATAACTGTCTCTGGAAAGCATCCCACTTAGGAGGGCTTCCATCTTTTTAGAGGCACTTTGGAACAGGGAAAGTGGGTACTATTCTCTCAGGCCTTATGACAATTGGGGTAACTGTACACTAAGCAGGATAGAGGCTGCTGGGGGAGGGGCTTCCCCTCCCCTGGTGTACATATTGTACCTCTGTACCATTTTGTATATTCCGGGGTAGGGACACCCCCTGTATCATAGTGGAGGTTGGAGCTGGCAAGTGGGGAGGTGGTTCTAATTATCACTTGGGGCTGGGAAACTTATTTATTGGTAGTATAGGACAGAAGACAGGAGGCGGAGATGGGGTTGTGGCACCCTGCTGATGCAGCTCCTCTTTATTTTGCTTTTTACTTGGGAAATAAATGGATTTAGCCATACTACTGGGCCTAGGGTGTTCCTGTCAATGGGTTCTGGGGTTAGCCTGAGGTTGTCACCAAGCAAGGAGTATGTCAGCAGAGAGCGGCCTTCTGGCCTTTGTGGAGCCTAAGGTCTGACGTGCTTAGCAGGTATGCTGTATTGTCTGTATACTGCTTACTGAAGCTGAGGGATCCCAGTGAGAGTGTCATGGGGTTACAGTCAAGACTGACCTATATGTAGGTGTAACACCTATAGATGGGGTACAGAACCTAAGGGTGCTGACTTACAGGCCAGACCTTTTCCATTCTGTCCCCTGTTTCCCTTAGCCTGTCCATACATTGGCCCATTTTTGTTCTTCAGGCTGCAGGCCTCCTCAGTTCAGTCTCCTGGCTGAGTTCATGGTCTTGCGCCCTAATGGTGGAAGCAGTTCATAGGATGAGGCCCTACTAAACTCACCTTATAGCACCCTAGCAGGGTCTCTTCCTCACCCTGCATTTAGTGCCCAGTGTTCACACCTTCCCCTCCCCCCAGCTCCACAGAGAATACGAACTATGAACCAGCAGAGGACACACAATTCCCCGTCATCCAGAAATGGATTTTATTCTAAGCCAAGACAGCAAGACTGGTGGCTATGAGAACCATACAGCTGCTGGTGCAGCATCCCCATGCTGCAGGGTGGGGATGGCCAAGGGGGTGGCCGTCCACAGGCCAAGAGGACAGAGAAGCTCACTGGAGGTGGCACATTGGGGGAGGGTTAGAGTGACAGTGTTCCCTTGTAGTTGGACCACAAGACTCCACAAGGACAGCATGATGGTTGATTCTGATACTACAGGCGAGGCTGTGTCAGCCATATATATGTATGTATATATATATATATAGGTATATTTATAGATATTTATAGAATGTCGCAGGAGCAATACCACAGAGGGCACAAGTTTTCACCAGCATCACATCTGCATGTGTAGCTCACCACTACAACAGACTAAGTCACAGATGAAGGGAACACGCTTTAGGGCCGGGGGAGCCACTGTCAAGTCACAGAACAGCTGTCCAGGCAGGCTTGGTAAGGGAGGTCTCCGAGGAGTAGAAGGGATCTGGTTAGAGGTCGAAGGGGGGCCTGGGGCTCTCAGGACGGGATGGACTTGCCTGACCCGATCGGCTGGCAGTTGGAGAGAAAGCAAAGAGAGAACCGGAGAGAGAAAAGGAAGGAGAGCTGGTAAGGCAAGAGCAGCCACCCCCAGCAGAGGCAGAGGGGATGAGGCAGGTGTGGATGTGGGCAAAGTTCCCAGAAAAGAGGCAGACAGTTAGTTGATGAATGAAAAAGGCAAGATGGGAGGTGCTGGGCCATAACTAGCAGGTAGTCTGGGTGGAGGCTAGTGGCCCTCTCTTGCCACGCACACGGCCTCTCACACACCACCCAGGCAATGTGTCCATAGGGTCTCCCTCTTCTCTGGTCACTCTTTCTCCCATCCCACTGGCCCTGGGCCACCCCAAGCCTCAGGGAGTCCCATGGAACAGCCATGAGGCCAGAAGTGCTTGAACCAGGAGAGCGAAGCTAAAGGGGATGACTGGAGGGAGCCCTGGAGGCCCCTCAGGTGGTCAGAAATCCCAGGAGTCCTCTGAGGGGACCCTGGGAAGGCTGGGAGGCAAGCAGCCGATGCCTGTGGCCAAAGACTTATAAGTCTAAGAGGGGAGCCTCCGCTGGTCTGGGGGCTGCAGGTCGCGTAGGTGAGGCTGGGCCCTTCCTGCTGGGGAAAAGCAGAAGGGTGAGCGTCAATGGCTGGGGAAGAGCTGGGACAGGTCACAGCGATCCTGTGGCCAGCCAGGCAGAACTCAAGCTGACTTGCCAAGTCAGTAGACACTGCAGTGCCATTAGCAGTGCCAGGCCGCTCTGAGAAGAGGCCAAGTGTAGGAGCTAATGGGCTGGCTCTGTGTCTGGGGCTGAGGACATGGCCATTAATTGCAGATGTGCAGTATTGAGGAAGAGAAAAGGGGGCTACTTGTCCTTGCCTTGCCTGTGAGCTCTTAATGGGCTGACAGAATGGCAAAGGCTTTTAAGTGTTCTGAAATCATTAGCCAACCAGAGCCCTGACTCAGCTATGGCTACTGTCTAGTGTCAGGTCATCATGTTTGTTCTGTGGTGGATTTAGATGCCCATGCTCCAGGGTGGGAGCTGGATGCTCTACCTTGGCAGCACACTTTAGGTATGAAGGCCTCTAGCCCCGTCAGAGGCCAGCCACAAACATCCTCTCCAAGCTCTAAGTCCCTACACTGTCAACAATGAGTCTGGTGTCTCTGAGAGCCCCAGGGAGCACCCGCATCTACCAGCTTGGGCACGGAACCTGTCCCCAGAGCCTTCGGTTTAGGCAAAAGGGCCTTGAGTAGTGGCGCTGAGTCCAGAGGCTCACTGGGAAGAGAGAGAGCCAGCTGGCAGAGGACAGGAAGAGGGAGTCTAGAGCTGCAGAAGGAGGAGGGGCCTGGCTCAGAGGTTCCGAGGTTGTCCTCAGCATGGAGCTGGTGCAGCGAGGAGGGAGGGGGCAGACACACTTCATGCAGCAGGCTGAGAGCATAACCTACCGTAGCTGACACTCCTCAGGGGTCACTGATAGTGATTCTGAAAGACAGCACGAAATCAACAGGGCAGTTCACAAACACACAGGTGAGCCAGGCGTGGGGTTAGGGGACACACACACGCACACGCCTGGGCGTGCACACACATGCTGTGAGGCCTCAAGGCCCTGCATGCACACACTAACACACATGCCCACAAACACGCATACATTTCCCCTCCCACCTCCCACTGCCCAGCACCATTGCCGGCCAATACGTGCAGCACGGATCTGGGACATGCAGCCAGCCACTCGGCACACTGAAGCACACGCATGAGCTGTCACAACACAGAAGCTCGCCTGCACACAGAAGGCCTTTGCACCAGCTCCCTGCACACTCAGGCCTGGTGTGCTGATAGGGTTACCACACTGCTCCATAAGGGACTGGGGCTTGTATTCTAGGACCCAGCTTCATTTCTTCGCCCAATAACCTTCCATGGTTCTCTACAGCATTGAGTCTCCACAAATCTGTCTCCAGCCTGACCCACCCTACAGCCAGCCAGCCACATCATCAGCATAGTGGCCCACTGTCTCTATCTGGACATTGCCCTGGAAAAGTGGAGCATACTTACTTAGGAAAAGGGAAATGGAAGCCCTGGGAGGGAAGGTGACTTGCTAAAGGGAATAAACCAGCATCTCTGGACTCCCAACCCCAGGACATGCTTGCTGCCTGCCTTTACCCTACTGTTTCATCAGAGCCCCATACAGCCCCTGCCTCAACTGGTGCATGGGGATTAGACACCCAGCTCTGCCGTTCAGCCATCTAGATTCGCAAACAGATGCTACTGGTCTATCGGATAATGTGTTCTTTCTCGGAGACTATGGTCAGTGGAAACTGGGCAGGGTGAGTCAGCTATTAGAGTGAACTTACTGGAAAGAAAGCTGGTCATGGATCAAGAAGGCAAAGCCAAGGGCTGAAGTGTATTCCTCTTCCTAGAGATCTCTGGTGGTAGGATAGTCTTCAGTCTCTGTCCCTGCCCCACACCCACCCTCTGGTTCCAGACTACCGGATTGTCCATGATCCCCACCAGACCCCTTCCCCAGCTGCTTCCTATCCTTCTCCATGCCTGGGTGCCACTCTCAGACTCACACCCGTGTGCACGCCCACACACACATCATACACCCTGCTGATCACACAATCACAGTCTGGACTGATCCTGTGTGCCAGAGGCTGGACACCACCCTGGGAAAGCTTAAAAGAGTCAGGGCTGGAAAGTGGG